GGTTTTAAATAACCTGAGGAAGAACCCTCCTCAACTCTAAACACTCCACTTGTTCCCTTGGGCTTTCCCACATTCTCCATCATATGCTCTTGTAATAGCTCCATTTTGGTCAACATCTTCTTGATCTTTTCATCCCTTTCTCTTTCCTTATCAAGTAGTTCTTGTGTCATTCTAAAACAAAAAGGAGAGACTTGATCCTCTTGAGTGTACCAAGCTTGATTTATTTTCTTCATATCATCAAGAAGAAATGAAGCCACCTCAAATGATTGCAACATTATTCCCCCTCGTACCAATTGATCAGCCACTCCTTTATTAACCAAATCAAGACTCGGTAAAAATATTCGAGTAACAAATCATTTAGTAGCCCGTGTGTTGGGCATTTGAGTAAGAGTTTCTTAAACCTCACCCACATTTCATGTGACACATTCTGGAAGGGTTGCACACCTCTATAAAATTTCCTACATGCTCATATGGGTCATGGTGATCTAGCCCTCCATAGAGTTCCCTCATTTGGAGGAGAGGAAGAGTCGTGCTAGTGACCTCAAATATTGCATTCCCTTAAGTTTGTGGTAGGCAAATTGCACCCATTTTACCTAATTGAGATGGGTTGTAAAAACTATTGATATCATCGATACCGTCACGATAACCTGCTTGGCTACCATTCACCTTTACCTCACTCATTTTAATTCTATTTAGTTCAATCAACACTACACAATGCAATCTATGCCGATTCAACTACATCTAATAAATTCACAAGTCAAATCTTAGATAAAATAACTCTAAGTAATGCTACTCCCCGGCAGCGGCGCCATTTGATTAATGTTTCAAAGACAGTTCATCCAATTCTAAGTGTCAACGATCGTTAGTCAGTATATAACCCAACTAACCGAGTTGGGGTCGATCCCACAGAGAGTAGCTTTCTTTGAATTCAAATACGAAAGTATGACAAGGACCTTTATAGCTGAGCAACACAACACTTAATAGTTACACAATCAAATTTCAAGATGGTACCAACCCACTTCAAATTATCAACAAGAAACAATTAGATAACTAGGAAACACTTGGGGGTTGACTAACCAACTATCGAATTCAACTTAATGGGTGTATATCATTACCGATAATGCTAATTCGTCACGGGTAAAGTGAATTATAAGTAAGGCAACTTTCTCTCGAACAATGACCTCATTTCTGTTGAGTTCTCTCAAACCTCAACACTATCTATGAAATGCCCAGCCTACGCTCTCATCAAATCCACTCTCCCAAGCTAGATACAAAGGCTAGCTCTTGGGTTTCACTTTCTCAAGCTAAAACCATCAAGACCCACTACTAAGGATGCCAAATTACTACGTTGGTTATGTACTCCTCTCTCGAGCAAGCATAAAACTCTGAAATCTATCACACTAAATATGCAATATGGACGTTAAACCACCATAGTAATTTAGACCCGCTTCATATTAACATCAAAAATCACTAATCGATAACACCCATTTAACAAAATTTAAAGATTAGTCACATTGTCAAACCCACAAGGTTAGGATTTTAGACAATCATAGAGAAAAGATGAAATTCAAGACCTGCCACATTTTCCATAGCTGGGTAAACAAAATTCGAAAGTTAAAATTAACTAAAATTTTCTCTATTAATAAATTCAAATGGGAAACCTTGCTAAAATCACTTGAAATCCACAAGGGTAGTGTTTTTGCTCTCAATCTTTTGTTCCTTCCGTTTCTAAATACCTTCTCTATCTTCCAAAAATCAATTTATGCAAGTTTGATGTGTAGTTGTTTGGAATCAATCGACGAGGTAAGTCGGGCATCGCCGACCGTTTGGCAACTGATCGATTCTCCTACGTCTTGCCTTTATATTTTTACCTTTTCTTAGTTCAACCACTGTAATTTTAGGTGAGACAGATCGGGATCGCCGACTCATTCTGTGATGCACCGTTTTTCCTTTCATCTCGCCCATCAACACTTCTCCAGATCTCCATTAGTACTTTCGGTGACCTAGTCATCCATTGCCGATGTGATCGGTGATGTGTCAAGTGGAACTGCTGCTAGGGTAAACTACTCATAATCCAGCCTTAGCGTTCTATAACTTTAGGCGGTAGAGTGGAAACTTGGCGAGTCGCCGAGTGACATCGGCGATCATCAGGCTTGTTTTTCCATTCTCTTTTTCGTTAGTGTTGTCTCTGTTGCCCATTTCTGTCTTAGCTTTGCTCCTCAATCCATATATTTGAAGATCAAGGGTTTACATCAGTTGTTGGCACAAAATAAGCATTTGAGGATACTAAATCATTATAAATAAAGCCCTAAATGAGTCCAAATCTCGGACTCATCAACACCCCCAACTTAAACTTTTGCTTGTCCTCAAGTAAAAACTCAAGTTCAGCATTTCAAATGGGATGTCTCCAACAGAGCTACACAAGACTCAATCATGAATGCACTCAACAAGACTTAACTTTCTCATGCAAGGATCAATTGTCACTCAAAAGTTCAAGTTGTGACTCACCATTCTCAAAGATTCTCAAGTTCACAATACTTGCTTCAAATGCAAGTTCAAGCTCAACAAAGGTACTCAAATGCCCTCACACAAAGATGATTCCATATTCACACACTATTCTTCAACAATTTAAAGTTCCCGAATCACATACAACTCTCACACTCTCAAAGATGAACACATGCATGAATTCACCCATAGGTTTGCCTTATTTTCCACTTAACATTCGTTTCAGCTAACTCAAGATCAAAAAGGTCTTTTCAAGGCTTGAAATGGGGCTGAGTGTAAGGGTATGATCATTTAGGCTCAGTGGCTGCTATCTTCATGAAATGTGGTATTAACAACACTTTCTTTCCTTTTCTTCAACATTTGCATTCATGCTCACAAGTCACCCTATTATTCACTTCTCATGGAATACCGGACACCCCATTTCTCTTGCAACTTTCACAACTTTTTCATTCTTTTTCTTTTTCATTTTTCATTTCTTTTCTCTCTTTTATTTTTTTTATATATAGAGGAGTTCCATCTTTCTCACAACCATGGCTCAAGGTAGACTTCTTTTGCATTTGGCCTAACTTAGGCTTTTGGCCTAAGTTGGCTATTCAAACAAACCACACTTCATGAGGATAACGGGTGAACGGATAGAGAGAGGTCTCATTTTCTCAAGTTTCTTCCAAGAAAAGGACAGGGCTCAAAGGGGGTTCAAGCAAAGTTCACACACTCACAAGGTAGGCCACAAAAGAGGTATAATGTCAAATTGATTCACTCTTTAAAATTATTGCCTAAGATCATTTAAAGAGCTTGCATTACTTAGTCTACTGGACCAACGCGGCAAATTCTAGGTGTTATCACACATGGTTCACGGTAAGCTCATCACACAAGGCATTGGAACCAATATCAAACAAGACTCCACACTTTCACTAGTGTGCAATGTTCATCACAAGAGACTCAATTCGATAATCGGCTAGTCACAACGAGATGCAATAAGTTCACATCTTGTCTATGCAACTTTATTTGGCTGCATCGTAGCCGCACATTCATTTTTGTTCGATTGCGAGCACCATTCAAGTCATCGGTATTGATCATAACTGATACTCAAATTTGCACAAGAACAGCCACAATTAAACACACAAGAGGTGGCAAAAAGTTTTTCAGAAGGGTCCAGGCACACAAGGAACTCACTGACCTAGCACACACTCCTACCAAAAGCATTCAACATTGTCCCCAATGTTAGTAGAGAACAGACACTCCCAAAAATAAAATAAGATTAAAAATAAAAACTAACAAATAAAGATAAAATTCTAGTATGTAAACATGCAGAACAAGGTGACGAGGAATCTTCACTAAGCACCGAGTTGGCGAGAAAATGAAGCAGTCGTCGAATGCCTCGACGGTGCGCCAATGGTCCAGATATCCCCTAAGTTCCAGTGTGTGACACTCTCAGAAAGGGGAAAATCGACGGAGATGGAGGAGGTCGCCGAACAGGTCGGTGCTTCGCATAATGGATTTTTAACATCGCCAAACAATAATTAAGTTAAGCTATCATCGATGGAGTAGAAGAGCGGGAAAAATTGGGTCGCCTAAGCACATCTGCGATTCGCCAAGTGATTAAGGTTTCCCGCCGAATGTTCTAGTGTCTTAACTCCATTTTTGAAGTCCATAAGACGGACTATGTCGTTCTCGCCGAACCGATTCGGCGATCCGCCAATAGCATCTTCTTCTCATACAATATCTTGCACCTACAAAATCAACACACATTATTTGAAACACTAACACTTGGGTTGCCTCCCAAGAAGCGCCTTATTTAACGTCGTGGCACGATGTGGAAATGCTCTCAAGCATCTTCCAGGTACACCACCTCAAACAGAGAAATCTCTTGGCACTCACCAAAGTATAACTTTAAGTGTTACCCATTCACCTTGAATTTAGTTCCTTCTTGACCTTCAAATTTGATGGCACCATTTATGAACACTCGTGTCACTCTAAATGGCCCTGACCATTTGGACTTAAGCATTCCCAGAAAGAGTCTAAGTCAAGAGTTATATAGTAACACCCAGTCTCCCACTCTGAACTCTCTCTTAATGATTTTAGAATCATGCCATTTCTTAATATTTTCCTTGTAAAAGGCTGAACTTTCGTAAGCCTTGAACCTGAATTCGTCCAACTCATTTAATTGCTATATTCTCTCTTTTGAAGTCTTTGTCCAATCCAGATTTATAACTTTCAATGCCGATAATGCTTTTTTCCAATTCAACTGGTAGATGGCAAGATTTACCGAAAACTAGCTGATACGGAGACATACCGATTGGTGTTTTGTATGTTGTGTGATACGCCCATAGTGTGTCATCAAGATTTCAAGACCTACCAGTCCTATTAGCATGCACTGTCTTGGCCAAGATTCTTTTGATCTCCCGATTTGACACTTCAACTTGGCTGCTCGTTTGGGGATGATACGGAGTTGCTACTTTATGTTTCACTCCATACTTACTCAATGCGGCTGAGAATCACTTGTTGCAAAAGTGGGGTTCCCCATAACTAATAATAGCCCGAGGAGTACCAAATCTAGCAAAGATGTAGCGTTTCAGGAATTGAACAACACTTTTCCCTTCATTGTTTGGAAGTGCAATAGCCTCCACCCATTTAGAAACATAATCTACGGCCACCAAGATATACTTATTACCAAATGAACTCATAAATAGGCCCATGAAATCTATTCTCCAAACATCAAATAGCTCAACTTCTAAAATGGGCATAAGAGGCAACTTGTGTCTTTTGGACACTCCACCTTGTTTCTGACACTGAGTGAACTTATCAACAAACTCATCAGCATCTTTGTATAGTGACGGCCAGTAGTAGTCACTTTGGAGGACTTTAGCAGCTATACGTACACCACCATGATGACCCCAACCAGTCAAGCATGACAAGTATGGAGTATTTCGATGGCTTCTTCTCCCGGAACACATCTCCTAATGATATGGTTTGCACACTCTCTAAATAAATATGGCTCATCCCAAAAGTACTTCTTAACATCAAACAGGAACCTCTTTTGTTGGTAGAAGTTTAGTTCATTTGGCATTAATCCACACCCTACATAATTGGCGAAATCATCATACCAAGGAGGTTGTTTGAGAGTTACTGTGAATACCTGTTCAACGGGAAAAGAATCATTTATGTCGATCTCCAGCTCAACATTTTCCTTGCCTTCCAATCTTGACAAGTAGTCAGCCACCTGATTTTCTCAACCTCTCCTATTTTTTACTTCAAAGTCGAATTCTTGCAATAGTAGCACCCACCTTATCAATCTTGGCTTGGTATCCTTCTTTGCCATCAGATAACGCAGTGCAACATAATCAGTGTGAACAACCACTTTAGTACCTAGCAAGTATGCCCGGAATTTCTCAAACGCATAAACTACCCCAAGTAACTCTTGTTCTATAACTGTATAGTTACGTTAAGCACTATTTAGAGTTTGACTTGCGTAGTAAATGGGGTGAAATAGTTTGTTGCGTTTTTACCCCAATACACCACCTAATGTCGTGCCGCTTATATCACACATTACTTCGAAGGCTTCTGACCAATCGGGATTAATGATAACCGGGGTGGAGACCAATTTTTCTTTCAAGCACTTGAAAGCCACCATGCAAGCATCATCAAAGTGGAATTTCACCTCCTTCTCCTAGAGTTTACATAGAGGATGTGTAATCTTTGAGAAATCTTCGATGAACCTCCGGTAAAAACCGGCATGTCCCAAGAAACTACGAACACCCTTCATCGAAATTGGTGGTGGTAACTTCTCAATTACTTCAATCTTCGCTTTATCAACCTCCATCCCTTTCTGCCACACTTTTACCAAGAACTATACCTTCCTTAACCATGAAGTGGCATTTTTCCCAATTTAGGACCAAATTTGTCTCCACACATCTTTGGAGAACTTGTCCTAAGTGTGCTAAATATGCTTCAAAAGTGTCACCCACAACCGAGAAGTCATCCATGAAGACCTTCATTGAATCCCCTACCACATCAGCAAAAATAGATAACATACAACGTTGAAATGTTGCCAGAGCATTACATAACCCGAACGACATCCGTTTGAAGGCAAAATTTCTGTATGGGTAGGTGAAAGTGGTTTTCTCGTGGTTTTTTGGAGCAATTGAAATTTGGTTATAACCGGAATACCCATCGAAAAAGTAATACCAACCTCTCTCTGAGAGTCGGTCAAGCATTTGATCCATGAAAGGCATGGGAAAGTGATCCTTTTCAGTCCACGAATTTAACTTCCGGTAATCCATGCATACTCTCCATTCGTTCACCGGTTTCATAGACACAAGCTCCCCCTTTTCATTTGGGACTACTGTGATGCCTCCCTTTTTCGATACACATTGTATCGAACTTACCCATTTGCTATCCGCAATAAGGTAGATCACACCTGCATCCAACCACTTTATTATCTCCTTTTTTACCACCTCTTACATCGGTGGGCACAATATCCACTGATGTTTAACACTCGACTTACAATCACTATCAAGTTGATTTTTGTGAGTGCAAATACCGGGAGGAATGTCCACTATGTCAGCGATAGTCCAACCTAGAGCTTTGATATGCCTTCTCAACACCTCAAAGAGTAATTTTACCTGCCATTCAAGCAAGTCAGCTGCAATGATCACCAGTAAGGTGTTATTTTCCCCCAAGAAAGCATAACGGGGATGGGAGGGAAGTACTTTAAACTCCAGATTTTGTGGTTCTTCTGTTGATGGCTTTGCGAGAGGACTTTCTCGATTGTTTAGATCAATGTCCAACTTCAATGGAGTCTTTGAATACCCCCCCCCCCTATGCCTGAAAGAGCAGCTACTACCTCTTCATAGCCTTGAGTTTCCAATTTATCATAGTTAGCAAGCACAACTTCAAGTAGTTCACTCATACACATCAAATGGCTCACACTAGCCACCCCCTAATCAATAACATCAACAGTGGAGACCACGTGAATATCACTTGGTTGTTTAATTGACTTACAAACATTAAAGGTTACTTCATCTTCGTTCACCCAAAACTTTAGTTCTCCACTTTCAACATCCACCAACGCTCTCAATTGCCAAGAATGGTCTTCCCAAAATGATGAGAATTTCAGCATCTATTTCACAATCGAGAATGAAAAAATCAGCCGGGAAAATGAATCATTCAACCTTTACCAAGATGTCATATAGTATCCCCATATGATGTTTAATTGATCGGTCCGCCATCAAGAATCTCATTGTTGTGGCTTTCGGTTCACCGAACTCAAGTTGTTTATAGATCGGTTATGGCATTAGGTTGATGCTTGCTCCTAAATCGCATGGGGCTTTAGCAAATTGTAGCATGCCAATGGTGCAAGGCATGGTGAACGCTCCGGGATCTTCTCTCTTTTTTATCAGCTCCTTAGTCATAATTGCACTACAACTATGAGAAACTTCGATTGTCTCAAAATCCAAGCTCCTTTTCTTTGTGACTAACTCCTTCATAAATTTGGCATAACCCGGCATTTCCAACAATGCTTCCACTAGAGGGAGATTAATTGATAATGTCTTGAACACCGATAAAAACTTCTTGAACTTCTTATCCTCATTCTTCTTCTTGAGACGTTGGGGAAATGGAGCAGATATTTTGGGTAAAGGTTGCATAACTTTTGGGATTGGATTGTGGTTCTCCACATCTTTTTGTGGTTCTTTGGCAATACTTTGATGGATAGGTGTCTCTTCTTCCTCCATACCTTTGTCTTCTTCATGCATTTAAGATTCTTCATTGCCTATCACATCACCTATTACTACCTTTCCACTACGAGTAACCACAACCAGCCCTCTATCATCATCTTCCATTGTGATTTTTGGTTTCAATTGTGCTGAAAGTAAACTCAACTGACCTTCAAGTATCTTGATTGCATCTGCGTGAGAGTTCACTTTATTTTTTAATGATGAAAAATTAGCTTTCATCCCTTTCAACAAATCATCCGAACCTTCAACTTTATCAAGGATACGTGACAGCAAATCATTCACCCGAGGACTACTTGCACTCCCTTTCAATTTTGGGGTCTCACTCGAGTGAGTGTGGTCCTTTTCATGGTCATCCTCTTTTTTCTAATAATCACTTTGCTCAGCCCAATCCTTATAGTATCTTATTTTCCCTTCCCCCTTGTGATAGTTCCAATCTTGAATCCCACTTGCTGTAAATAGCGTGAATGGAAACCCTCCTCGTATCTCTTGAAGTTCCTACCTTGATTCACCCTCGATTTTGAATAACTTGAGGAAGAACCCTTCTCAAATCTAAACACTCCACTTGTCCCTTTGGTCTTTCCCACATTCTCCATCAGATGCTCTTGTAATAGCTCCATTTGGGTCAACATCTTCTTGATGTTTTCATCCCTTTCTCTTTCCTTATCAAGTTGTTCTTGTGTCAATCTAAAACAAAAAGGAGAGACTTGATCCTCTTAAGTGTAGCAAGCTTGATTTATTTTCTTCATGTCATCAAGAAGAAATGAAGCCACCTAAAATGATTGAAACATTATTCCCCCTTGTACCAATTGATCAGCCACTCCTTTATTAGCCGAATCAAGACTCCGGTAAAAATATTGGAGTAGCAAATCATTTGGTAGCCCGTGAGTTGGGCATTTGAGTCATAGTTTCTTAAACCTCACCCACGTTTCATGGATGGGTTCATCCTCCCATCACTTGAAACCTTGAATGTCATCTCAAAGTTTCAACATCCTTGATGGGGGAAAGAATCTCGCATTGAATGTTATAATCAGCTCCTCCCATGATGTGATGGAATTGTTTGGTAACTTGGCCAACCACTTACTTGCCTCCCCCGTCAAAGATAGTGGAAATAACCTAAGCTAGATTGACTCTTGTGACACATTCTTAAAGGGTTGCACACCTCTATAAAATTTCTTACATGCTCATGTGGGTCTTGGTGATCTAGCCCTCCATAGAGTCCCCTCATTTGGAGGAGATGACGAGTCGTGCTAGTGACCTCAAATATTGCATTCCCCTCAGTTTGTGGTAGGAAAATTGCACCTATTTCACCTGGTTGAGATGGGTTGTAAACACTATTGATATCATCGATACCGTCCCGATGACCTGCTTGGCTACCATTCACCTCTACCTCACTCATTTTAATTCTATTTTGTCCAACCAACACTACACAATGCAGTCTAAGCCGATTCAACTACATCCAACAAATTCACAAGTCAAATCTTCGATAAAAGAACTCTAAGTAACGCTACTCCCCAGCAGCGGCGCCATTTGATTAACGTTTTAAAGACACTTCATCCAATTCTAATTGTCAACGATCGTTAGTCAGTATATAACCCAACCAACTAAGTTTGGCTCAATCCCACAGAGAATATCTTTTTTTTGAATTCAAATCCGAAAGTATGACAAGGACCTTTGCAGCTGAGCAATACAACACTTAATAGTTACACAGTCAAATTTAAAGATATTGTTACCAACCCACTTCAAATTATCAACAAGAAACAATTAGATAACTAGAAAACACTTAGGGGTTGACTAACCAACTTTCGAATTCAACTTAATGGGTGTATCTCATTACTAATAATTCTAATTCGTCGCGGGTAAAGTGGACAATAAGTAAGGCAACTTTCTCTCGAACAATTACCTCATTTCTGTTGAGTTCTCTCGAACCTCAACACCATCTATGAAATCACCAGCCTACGCTCTCATCAAATCCACTCCCTCAAGCTGGATACAAAGGCTAGCTCTTAGGTTTCACCTTCTTAAGTTAAAACCGTCAAGACCCACTACTAAGGATGCCAAATTACTACGTTGGTTATGTACTCCTCTCTCGAGCAAGCACAAAACTCTGAAATCTATCACACTAAATATGCAATATGGACGTTAAACCACCATAGTAATTTAAACCCACTTCAGATTAACATCAAAAATCACTAATTGATAACACCCATTTAGTAAAATTC